TTGGATTATATCATGTCAAAGTGTTTTTTATGTTTGGTATATAACAGTTTTAGTCTGTCAATGATATATTTGGAGTATATTTGGTATATAACAGTTTGGTATATAACAGTTTTTTATGTTTGGTATATAACAGTTTGGATTATATTTGGTATATAACAGTTTGGTATATAACAGCAGCATACATGAAGCAGCATACATATAACAGTTTGGATTATATTTCATAATACCTATAAACAACAACAGCAGCATACATAAGTTGGTTATGCTTTTAGGTTCATTTCATAATACCTATTTGGTAGATAACAGCCTATTTGGTATATAGCAGCATATTTGGTATATAACAGCAGGATACATATAAGTTGGTTCTGCTTTTAGGTTCATTACATAATACCTATAAACAACAGCAGCATACATAAACCTGTAATACTTTCCACAAAATATACTTGTTCCAAAAACAACATGTTCATGACAGCAGTAGAATACAACAACTGTAGAACTTGTTCATGACAGCAGTAGAGTACAACATGTTCAAATTATAAACTTGTTCATGACAACAGTAGAGTACAACATGTTCAAATTATAAACTTGTTCATGACAGCAGTAGAGTACAACATGTTCCAAATTATAAACTTGTTCGTGACAGCAGTAGAGTACAACATGTTCCAAATTATAAACTTGTTAATGACAACATCAGTAGTAAAATACATAAACTTGTTCTAAAACGACAGCAGTAAAATACATAATCTTGTTCTAGGTAACTAAATTCACATGTTCCACAACTTATAGCTTCTTCTTTGGGGTGATCCTCTTTGTTGGAGTAGACCTCCTTGTTACTGGGCCTACCACATTCTTCGCAACACTCAACCTAGTTGTAGGTCCAGCTGGCACAAAAGGTCTTGTTGGCTTCCTTACAGGCAACTTTTGTGTCTTGCCCTTAGCATCCTTTCCATTAGAAGTTTGAGATACTTGGCAAGATTGTTGAGTAGGCTGACTTGTTGAAGTAGGAGTGTGGTGACTAGTTTGTTGAGCAGTCTAAGATGGAGTGTGTTGACTAGTTTGTTGAGCAGTCTGAGATGGAATGTGATTGAGTTGGGCTGATTGTTGGCTAGGTTGTTGAGTTATTGTGTCCTTACAAGTAGATTTGTAATGTCCTGCTTTCTTACACCTACTACACTTCACCAGAAAACCTGTTCTTCTCAATTTGCGAGCAGACCCATCAATTTCACCATGTTCTAGGTTCCTCTTCTTTTTAGGTCTACTTGGCATCTTCCTGAACTTGGGTGGTTGCACATATGGGTATGGTGTCTTAACCCACAAGTTTGCTCCATTAACAGGGTAGATCACATGCTTATAAACTACCTTGTACCTTGAAACCCTGTAATAATCTGGAATGTAAGTATCCAGCTTGAAACTCCTACTCTTCATAGCAGAATGAGCATGAACACATGGGAGCCCTGTGAGTTCCCATCTTCTGCATGAACATATCTGATCTTTCAGGTTCACAACAAACTTGTCAGCTTGATTTTCTATGTGCCTTACTTCAAATATATGTTCATCAGACATCCTAAATGATTAAACAAACAAAAGTACATTAGTCACATTAATGTCATAAACAAACAAAATACATTACTCACATGTTGTGACATACCTTACTAGCCAGTTGTTGGTGTATGTGCTTGTGACATCAAGTTTCTTTCTAATATTGGGCAAAATATCATTCTCATCCAAAGTTCCAAATCTCAGTCTGTTATTTTCCCATCTCTCCATCATGTATGTTTTGATGTCTTCTAACATAGTGATTAGAGGTTTTGCCCTTGCTTCAAGAATGACACTATTAAAGGACTCAGACATGTTGTTAAGAACAACATCACATTTGTTTTCAGTCCTAAAGTAAGATCTACTCCAAAACCTTGGTGGGGTCTTCATCATATGTTTAAATGCTTCTTCATTGATGGCCCTCATTCCCTTCATCTCTTTTTCCCATGCCTGTGGGTATGTTGACTTGGCAGCCTTCCATATTATGTCCTTCAACATATTTCCAAGAAACTTTTTTCTAAAATTGTTATAAAGGTGCCTAACACAAAACCTGTGCTCCACCCTTGGCAATAACTCATCCATAGTAGGTAGCAGACCCTGCAATAACATACAATGTAGCATTACAATGTAGCATAATAGAAATAGCATAACATAAACACATAAAACCATATGAATAAATGAAAAAATTGCCTTTTGTTAGTCTGAGATGAAGGTGTAAGTCAGGCATTCATCTTTGCCTCCAAGGTCATCAATTAACAGCTCTAAAAACCAAGTCCATTTATCCTTGTTTTCACTCTCCACAACTGCATATGCTATGGGAAGCATCTGATCATTAGGATCCCTCCCAATGGTAGCCAGTATCTGCCCTCCACACAACCCCTTAAGAAAACACCCATCTAGACCTATTACATGCCTACACAACTTAAAGCTTTCCTTACACGCAGCAAAACATATGTAAAGCCTTCTAAAATATGGTCTTTCATCCTCAACACCTACTTGTACACGCTCAACATTGAGCTTAACTGTTGACCCTGGATTGTCTCTTAACAGTTCATGACAGTAGCCGTAGACCCTTGTGTAATCTCCCAAAAAGGAACCATCTACATAGTCTCTAGTTGCGAATCTTGCTCTTATAGCTTTGGTTTTGTTGACCCCAACATTCCACTTTTTTTGTGCCTTCTCCTTGATATCCTTTATACTCAACCTTGAATTGTTTTTCAAGCTATTTTGAATTCTTTTACTCAACCACTTTGTACTCATCAACTTCACATTATACTCCCTACTGCAACTGTGTTTATCAATTACTTTTCTGAGTAACCAAGTGTCTTCAGTTGGCAACTTGCTACAATAAGTCTCCCACTCACAACCAACTTTACATCTAACCCTTGCCCTAACTCTGTCATTTTTTACAAACCTTAAGTTTCTACCATTTTGAACATCATATGTTGTTATTGCTTCCTTAAAATCATCCTTTGAACTAAATTACATTCCCACATCCCACTTGTAATTTGACATGTCTTTTAGCTGTCTGAAAATTTGATGTTTTTTTCTTACAACTCCACTGCTATCATCACTGTCACAACCACTTTGCATTTCCTCACTGCCATTGTCACTTCCTTTACCATCATTTTCTACACCTTCTCTATTACCATCATTTTCATGACCAACTAGGGCATCAAGTTCATCCTCCCTAATCTCATCACACCCATCAGACTCATCCTCAAAAGCAACATCTTCTGCGCTATCATAATTGTAGTCCTCATCTACACTATCATCAGATGATAGACTTAAGTCATCATACACTGCAGCTTTGGCTTTTCCAACTCCAACATTACCTTGTTCCCCTGTAGCACTCCCTCTTTTAAATCCAACATTACCTTGTTCCCCTGTAGCACTCCCTTTTTCAACTTCAACAGTATGATCAGCCATTGCAGGATCATCATCAACTCTAACATCCCCTGCAACATTCCATTCCTCCATGACAGCAGTGGCTTCATCAACTCTAACTTCACCTTTCTCCAACCCAACATTGGCTTCATCGACCCTAACATCGCCTTTCTCCAAACCAACAGTGGTTTGTTCAACTTCCACAACTTCTTCATGTAGTTTACTAAGTAACTCCTCTACCTCATCTACAATTTCAGCAGGGTCCTCATCAACTTCATCAACAACAACATCACAATAGTCAGGTTGAGACAATGTGTATTCAATATAAATATCAACATTTTGGTGCACCCTATACAGATCTGCAATTTCTAAAGCACCATTGTCATCAACAAGTGGGTTCATCCCAAATTGAGGATCTTTGTAAAATATTGTTTCAAACTCCCTATAACCTAAGTCTATCAATACACCAACTAGCTCAAAATAACTCCATCTGTCTACATCTACCCTCAAATCATCTACTACTCCATTCTCATATACACTACGACCTTCATCTGTGAACTCACCACTGTGATGAATTTTCAGAGTTATGTATTCATCCATGATAACCTGATCATATCATGTAAGTAATTAACGTTTACACTAACAAATTTATATAAACCCTAAATTTGAACCTCTACCAGAAAATCCTAAATCAGAGAGAAATGAACTAACCTTTTGATTATGGCTCTTGAATCATCTTCAATCCTCAATCAAAAACCCACGTCTTTTTCTTGAATCATCTTCAATCTTCAATCGCCTTCTTCTTGAATCGTCTTCTTTCTTGAATCGTCTTCTTCTAGAATCGTCTTCAAGCTTCAATCGTTTGCTCTTGAATCATGCATTCTTCTTCTGGGTAATGGTGGTTAATGAAAGCTTCCATCGTTCCCTCTTCTTCCCTCCCTATTCTTCCCTCTAAGACCCTTCACTTCCACGTCAGCACTCCACTCACTCAAACGTGGCAATATTTTCAAAAACAAACTAACGGCAACACACGAAAGGATAAACGTGACACCATTTTAAAAGTTAAAGGACCAAGTTGCCATTTTTTAAAGATAAGGGTCCAACGGCAACACACGAAAGGATAAACGTGACACCATTTTAAAAGTTAAAGGACCAAGTTGCCATTTTTTAAAGATAAGGGACCAACATGGACCCCGAGCTAAAGTTAAGGGACCAAAAATGTTATTTTGCCAAATTTCATTGATTTTAAATATAAACAAAAGTCATTTATATTTATTTTTATTTTTTTATTACATTTTTATGTTTGTAACGATTTAAAAAAAAAATTAAAAAAGGTGAAAAAGTTAAATGCATTCAAATATATTTTTTTAAAGGATGATTTTTTAAAAATTCTTTTATATATATGTGACCGGAACGAGTAGTATAAGAAAATTAGTAATTTAAAGTGAATTTAGTGAATATATATTTATCATCTTAAAAAAAGGTACTATTATGTTGTGCCTCTAAATAATCAAGTATTCCAAAATCCGATAAATAGGGTCACTATTTGTGGAAGGGAGAAAACGAGATAGTGTGATATGGCTTCTCTTGGATTCTCACTCTCAAATGCCAGATCACTCTACCCACCGCTCAAATTAGGGTTTCCTTCCAAACCTCAAACCCTTCCCATCTCCACTCTCAACTTCTCTTCCTCCTTCAGGTCCATACTTTTTCTTGGTATTCTTATTTCTACGTTTTCTGTAGATTTTTCTCTGTATTTTCCAAATCGATTCCATGTATGTTTCTCAGTGTATCGAACTTTATGTGACTTAGAATTTCTGCTGTTGAATTTATCATCCAGATGCATAGGGTCTAGAAGATTGCAAAAAAATCAAAAGATATTGACTGTTTCTGCTACAAGCCCCAACTCTAGAGGTGGAAAAGCATCTAATGATGGATCAGATGTAAAGGAAACTGGCAGTGCTTCAAAGGGACCTCCTCTCCTTACTATTTTGTTTGGTTTCTTGGTGTTTTTCCTTGTTTTTAAGGTTATTGGGTCCATTGTAATGTGGTTGGTGAGTTTGATTGTTAATGTGCCCCCTCCAAAATAAACATGTTTGTTGTAATGTCTTGTTGTTTATATGTTAAAACGTTGTATGAGTCCTTATGGTTTTTCTTTGTTTACTTTTCATGCATTTGAACTTGATAGATAGTAGTTGTGTTAGAAATGGCAAAGTGAGCTAGAAGCAGTAAAAGACCATTAACATAGGAAAATGATTTTAGAACTCAATTGGCTGATGTAGCTGTCTTTTGAGGCATTTATATTTTCTGTGTTTTTAGGACTAATAATTGAGTTACTTGTTCCATTTATGCAGAATTGGCGAAATTACATAAAGGACAATTTATTATAATTTTGACAGAATTTGAAACTTCAACAAAATTATTGACAACAATTTCATAAAATTTATTCTGATTCCATACATTCGTATTGCAAAGAGCAGCTTCACTCTTTGTGTTAAACATGCTCGCCATCACGATTTCAGTTGTTTTTCAAACACACTTCATCTTTAAGGAGAAGGTTATGAAAATTTTAAATAAAATAATTCTACGAAAATAAATTTAAATAATGAAAAATCTATTGAGAAAAACCCAAGTTCTTCATTGGTTCTATCATGATAGCACGAGCCTATCAATTTGGGCTATCTATCATTTATATATACACGCACCATCGAGTCATCCGAGTCTATTAAAAAAGAGAGTTTTTTTATCTCACTCCTTAGGTCTCTTAGCCTTCCTTAAATGTCTCAGGTTTTTGAGACATATTTTCGAACACACCTTTTTTTACTCAACTTTAGATTTTTTTTTAGTACATCTTCGAAATCACTATAAAATACATGTTTTATGGTGATTCCAGATATGTATTTTTGAAAAAATTTAAAACTGAGTAAAAAAAAGTGTGTCCGAAAATAAATCTCCGAAACCTGAGATCATTTAAGAAAAAGCGCATGGTGGCTAAGAGATCCATAGGGTTGGATAAAAAACTCTTAAAAAAAATACAAATCTCACATTGGTTGATTAAAGATAGAGCCCACAAAAAATTTATATAGAGTGACACTCATCATTTTACAAACCTATTTTTTTTTAGAGATGAGTTATAATTCTATCAAACTCAGTTAAAAATGTAATCGCAGATTAATTAAACCATTATAGATTTGGATTAATAGAATGGTATTTAAGGGCTTTTTGCTTTGTAAAAAGATATGATTAGACTTTGCAACTGATTGAGCAGTTATATTTAGAGGCCAATACACACAGCGTTTGCCTGACAATTATCAGTGAGTATTTCGGGGAAGGTTATCAAAAATATAATGTCCAAGACGACCCGTGCGGAAAAGATTAAGCAATTTCCCAGCAACCATGACATGGGCATCTTCTTCACATTCAGTAGAAACATGGAAAACTTCCTGCAAGGCAGTAAACTGTCTAACAATAAGTGCTTCCATTTCAACTTCACATCTTATATTGCCTTCAAAAGATGATACTGTTTCATAGAGTATTCTTCGAACATCCTGCACTACATCATCCTGCAAAACACAGTTAACCTGAAATGAATTTGAATTTTAACTAGATATACCTGAAATGAATTTGGATTTTAACTGTAGAGATATTGCGAAAGATTGACCTTTCAACATGAGAAACATTTATTTTGGTTCAATTCTTAGATTGACCTTTCAATTTTTAGCTTTATGAGTGTTCTTATCAGAATACATACAGTTTTTAATCATGCATTAGAAAGACTACATAAGATTGAGGTGTCCGAGTAAATAGTGCACATACCTGTGTGTGATCCGTAGGGATTTGGTTTTTCTGCTTCATTCGCAACCCAAAGGTAGTCAAGCATTCTGTTGTGCTGTTAGGGAAAACCCAATCGTTATCGTTGTTTGATAACTTCGCCCATTTCTTGTACTGATCACTGGAGTTGTGAATAGCTAGAAAATATTGAGCAGTTTCTTTTCTCTCAACCAAACAGTCCCCAATTGCTCCTGCATAAGGATAAAAATGAAGTCAAAAACAGATAGAGAGAGAGGGATGAATGAAAGTTTAAACAGAATTACTGAATTGATTGCATGTTGAGCTTAAGAGAGACTAGTAAGAAATTGATTGAGTTAATTAAGAAAATCCAAACATGAATGTCATGTCACTAACTTAAAATTCTCACGGAATGAACTCACTTCGATCTTCATTGACAGTTCAAATAGAATTAAAATAGTGAACAACTCAGATAGAATCAAAATAGTGAATTAGTATTTTCTTCTTTCAAACCTCAAGGGACGATAAGTCGATAACTCTACTCCCTATCTATTACTTCCTCGACTTGATATACTTGTCAAAAGTTCTCAATACTTTTCCACCACTACATAAGAAAGTAAAAATTAGCAGAGGAAGAAGCAAACCAACTGAAAATACCTGTTAAGAGTAATTTAGATAGAACATCAACATCAGGAACCTCGGGAGATAAAACAGCTGGAGTGTCTAATACATATATATTGGGATGGCTAGCAATCTGAATGGAAGGAAAAGTTTTGCGAGTAAGAATAGCACAAACGAGATGCTGTTATGATATTTCTTTGGTATAAGAAAAAATTCTTAAAACTGGACAGAAACAGAATTTGAAAATCAAAATAATAATTTTAATTTAGACAAATAAATTAGATTGTAAGAAAGAAAAAAAATGACAAAAGGTTGTATGAGATTCAGATTTTACAAAACCTATTTAGAGGCCAATTAAAAGTTCTCAGAGCCATCAGTATGACAGAAAAGTTATAGAATTGATAGAACACATGATGAAAACATACAACTTTGGAGGTCTGCAAGTATTTTTTCTAGCAAAACGATAAAAGGTACAATGCCAAAGAAAAAAAAAATCTAACCTTATAACTTCTAATGTCTTTAGTCTCCCCTGGCTCTGGACTCACAGTTGCATGCTTTAACTTTCCTTTTTCTACAAAACAAGAAATTGCAAAGAACTTATTAAAAATAAATTTTAAAACTTTGTGAGCATGCATTCGCTAGTATTTCTCAAACGTTTTCATTAGAAATACAATATTAATTTAAATACCTGCTGCACTAATTCTCCCCACTTGATGCAAGGCATTAGCAAGTGCCGATTTACCGACATTTGGAATCCCGATTAACATTACTGTTGCAGTATACTTATTAGCATGATCAGTTCCCTTCAGTTTTCCCACCTGGCGTTGTATAAGGCTTAGGAACTGTCTCCAAGAAAAGTTCTTTATTAGTAGATTAGTTCATGAGCAGATAAGATCAATATCAATAACTTTTTGTTTTCATATTTTAAGCAAAATTACTTTGTAACTGGGAAAATTCAATATCAAATATGGAATACCACCAAGTTAGATCACCCTACTCACTATCAATTGCTTAGAATGTTATTTACACGCTAAAAATATGCGACACTAAAGTAAAGAAATCTTCAGAATCTCTAACCATAGGAAATAATTTTCAGAATCTCTAACCAATCATTCCTAAGATTGCACTTAAATTGCGACACTAAAGTAAAGAAATCTTCATTTACAGACAAAACCATGGTCACATATCTTGCCACACATATACTCCCACAAAATCATTATAACTAATGTCAAATGTGAGATCTCAATTAATGCAAATCAATTTAAACATGAATTGTAATGTACACAACTGCAAGATTCAAAATTACAAACTACGCTCCACAACCTTTTGCAATGTATAGACTTAGAACAGAGTCAAAACACCTTGATATTTTCATAAAGTCATTTATTCCTGAGATTCGACAGAAAAACATGTGATAAAGAAACTTCTAGTTTACCTGTCTGATGCTGTCCTTGTTATGAGCATTGACTCCACAAGATATGCAGTTCATTTCCTTAAAATAATCCATCCATACCTGTTCACAGAATAAATTTTAAAAAGAAAATTATTAAGATAACAAAATTCATAAATTAATAAATTTCAGAAAGAACACAAATTCACCCATTACAAAACATGGTTAATTTGTTGAGTGTAGTTAAACACCTTTACTTGATTTTTCAGTTGATAGTTTGGTTGGGAAGTTAGTCTATGTGTCACTATTGGTCACTCTAATTAGCTTAGTTCCCACCAGAGCTTCTCTATAATAAGTTCATTCATTCATGATACTGATTTGAACTTAATTTAATAAGTTTTTCATGATAGCTTATAAAAACAACTGAAAGCATCATATAAAAACAATTTAATTTAATTTCATCTTTTGTTATAGAAATAATTTACTTATACTTCTTATAAGTGATTATTATAACAAACACTTATAGCAAATAAGCTGCTTATCTAAAAAGCGCTTATAACTTGTCAAACAAGAGATACCTGTAAAGCGGAACGAGAAGCAAGATCGGCTTTGTTAAGCGCTATAATCTGGTTTGAGGAAGTTTGATACTTTCTGAGTAAGTGGCATTGAGAAGACAATGGAATCTGAAATTGAAGAATTCAAAATTATATGCAGAAGTTAAATAATTGAAACGAAAGAGAGTTGCAGAAGTATATATATGTATAACCCTTGCATCTGTGACATGGATGACGAGATCAACCAGAGGGATCCTTTCTGCGATGGCGCGAGTAGAAGCGGCCATGAAAGGGTCGTGCCATAGAGCTTCACGGAGAACGCTGCTTTTTCTTCTTTCGATTCTTTCTCTTACCGCTCTTCCTATACGTTTGCCAAATTCCGAAGCTGCCATTCTATTTGAAATCAACGGTGTGTGTTTCTTTAACAAAACTCGTGTGTTTTTTCAAAATAATTATTTTGTTTTGTTTGGAATGTTATTCATATCAAATGTATATTATGTTTATTTATCCTCTTCAAATATACAATAACTTTTTAGATGATGAAGATAGATGTAAAAAGATTTGTTGTATCTCTTTTATTATAATATTTAAAAAGAAAATAGAAATGCATATGATTTTATTCAAATTCACACAATTTACCTCCTCTCTATTGAGTTTGAAGTTTCATATTTAACAAATAACATTAAAGTTTAACTATTGTTTAAAGATTAGTCTTCTTAAGAGAAAGATGATGAGCATAAATACTTATGCTTTTAACAAAAGTCTTTTCATAAATATACTTCCACCATTTGATGATGATAGGTTTGACTTGTAGAAAATGAGATTTGAAACTTTTATCAAAACTATCGATTTTGAAATATGAGATATTTTAAATAATAGTTAGTTTATTCATACATTCTCCTTTATTGACGAGGTAGTAAATAAATTTGATTTTGATTGGACAGAAAAGGATATGAGAAAAGTCAAACTTGGTTTTAAAGTTAAATAAATTTGATAAATGTTTTAATTTTCAAGGTATTTTATTATATTTTTACTTGTGAGTTCAACAAAGAAGTATGAGACACTTTTGAAATAATTTACGGAGTTTATTCAAGTATTAAGCAAGAGGAAATGAACACACAAACTCAGTGTTCCGTGTCGGCCAAAGGTCCAATAAAATAAGGCCCACTTATCTTACCTGCTTCATTAAGGCCAAGGTATAAATACCTTCACAACAGATTTTCAAGTATATAATTTCTAATTTCCACTCTCTCTATGATTATATTGAACTCCAAACTAACTTGGATGTTAGAGTGTTAATCATGCAGGTACCCCCTTGTTGGTTCATCGTATGAGAGATTAGCCGCGTCGGTACAAGATCAACATCTCGCCGTCTCCGATTCAAGAAGAATCACGATCACAACCTTTGATATAAGGTATTGCGTCCCTTAAGAAGCTTCACTCCACCACAATTTCCGCAATCTTCTTATTTTTTGGCTCTGCAACGGAACAATGACACCTTATATGAAAAACAAATTTTGATTCCCGCAATTTCCACGAGGTCAAGTCTGATTCTCAGATCTAGGGTCCAAAAGCGTCTCCGACGAAGGAATCAAGGTTCCCCAAAGTCAAGATTTCATATCCGTGGTGTTTGGATCCATTGAATTCTGATCTAACTTTGATTGATTGTTATCTTGACCTCGCACTACCACGAGAAGAAGCCAACATATATCCTTAGATCTAGACTAAGATCTATAGTGTTCTGACTGGTCTGGCTCAATCTTAGTTTAAACCTTCCAAAAATCTTGACCTCGAACCTTTGCCAAGGCGAGTTAATAGATCCCCTCATATCTTGATTCAAATTCGTAAAGCTATGATCAATCAAATAAGTGTTCAAAACTAATGTTAATTTAAGAGTTTCAATTTTTTTAAAGATAAAGTACATCACTTCGTTCACTTACACATTACAAATGATTCTATAAAAAAATCCATTAGATTAAAATAATTATACACCGTTATATTGAATATTTATAATATTTTAATGCATAAACTAGAAAAATTTTAAAATAATTCTCCCAACTCGATGTCACTTATAAGAGCGGGGCTTCTCACAAACTTGAACTTCAAGACTCATTAATCTGTATTTACTACGATTTCGCAAACACAAGGTCAAGCCAGACAAACATAAACACGGAGGGTGAGCTTCGAAAACATGTAACACTATAAAATAATTGAGAAAAATGCGCAAATTATCAAGTAAGCACCATATCATGTCAAATCACATTTAACACAAATCATCAACATCAAACATCTACATAATTCACAGTTTCAAGATATAAATATTTTTATCTCAAATCAACCTTCACACAAAGAAATCAATATATGTTATGAATATAAATAACAACAATAATCAAGTTTGACCACAAATCAAATTATGATATACATTCTCTTATACTCTAAAGTTCTCCTCTTTCTTTGATATCATTATACTCTAAAGAGGGTCGTGCTTCTCTCTATGATATTTCATTACGCCAATAACTCAAATAAAATTATGCTTCTCTCAATTGATATTGCATTTGTGTAATACTTCTTTCAAGAGAAAATGTATTACATTATGCAACCTAAATTTGGGCGTGCTTCTCTCCAGCGATACTTTACTTGTGTAATACTTCTCTCATGCGATATTGTATCACATTATTGTTAGCTACAAAATTTCGACCGAGAAAGAGAAGCATGTCAAAGGGAAGCTTGACATCACAAATAAAGAGATCGAAGCAAGTTCAATAGGATATACTGCAGACCAAGGTCGAAGAAGCCTCGACAAACCATCCATCAGAAGGATGTTGAAGAAGGCTCGACAGGTAAGTCGTTCTAATATAGGTCGGAGATAAGGCCAATGAGTAAGTTTGTAACTGACGAGAACGTGGGAAGTTACAAAAGACGTGGGCATACATGGAGGGACGCATGGTAGGTGATAACACTGAAACACACTGCGTATTTGGCTCGGATTGCACATGTTTATTGTCATTTAATTTTTATTTTCTTGCATTATGCTTGTGTTTTATCTTTTTTTCAGGTACATTGCCTAATAAGAGCCTTTCACGAAGAAATGGAGTGAAAAGAGCAGAAAATGGAGCTTTTGGTGCCATTTACATACATGGCATTCCACATGGTATTAGTCATGGGGGTAGCCATGACGTGTAGGGTTTCTCCCATGTTTTAATGGTCACAAGACTACGCCCACCACCTCTTGTACACATGGCAGACTCCATGTCTAGATAGCGGGCACCGTCTTCATAAAATATGGACCACTCAAGGACGATTTGAGAAGTTGCCCATGACCAGATATATTTCCTCCACACGAACACCGAAGGTGCTACGTGATTTCTAAGGCATTGTTACACTATAAATAGAACTTAGATCTTTAGTTTTAGGCATCCATTCTTAGTTGCTGCATAGGCCATAAATTTACTTTGTTAAAGTGATAATTCTTCACATCGGGGAGTTATCGCACCATTGTTGTAATCGAGTTTGGAGCACCGTAGCGAAGAAGTTTAAATCTTTCCGTTATTTTTCCTACAAGTTTGTACCAGATTCAAGTCTCAGATTTGGGGCAGATTCTTAATACGATTCGCATTATTATTATTTATTTCTCGCACTGCTTTTAATTTGTTTATTTCTTGCATCGCTTTACTTTGTTATTTCTTGCATTGCCTTTAATTTGTTTACTTTATTGCTCTGCTTTATCTTCTTTGTTTTCTCGCACGCATTACTTGATTTATTTTATCACAAAAGATTCTTTTTCAAAATCGAACCTTAGCGTGTCATTCTTGTTATTACTTTTCAAAATCAATTGTACACTTAACATGCATTTTCCCTAAATGACTTAATCAGATAATCAATTATATGATATGTTGTTTACCTTAGTCATGTCCAGCTAAATCATTAGTGCTGGAATGTGAGGATCATCATTTCGATGATACTTCGTATGTTGTATCTGTAGGAATGTTTTAGGGGCTGTTTTGGTTTTAATACAATTTTTCTGTGGTTTATTTGATCGGGTACTACGAAAGTAGACCCGTGATTACGTCGGGTAAGATCGAAAGCAGCCTGACACTTAAGATAAAAATTGGTTAGTTTTTGATTAAGAAAAACCGTGGAAGCACTTTGTTAATCAATTAGGAATATTTAATATTATTAGAAAGTGATTTTAAACTATTTTCGGACGCGTTCATAAGTTTAAGATCCGGTTGGTCGACCATATGTCGGAAATCCTTTTGTGTTAAAAGTTTCTAATCAAAATCACTTTTTAACTGAGTCTTAGAGGTAGTTACATAAAAAAGAATTTTTCACTTTAACACAATACGCGGTCGGTGCAGCATGAACGACTGATATAGATTAGAGGTCAAATCTGGTTTCGATTTCGCTAATGCGACGATTCCTTTTTAATTAACTCTTTTTCAAGGAAGAAAATATTGTCCCATAAGTAATTCTATTTAGCACAATAGGAGTATTGTTTGATCGATGTGAGTTACATTCCATTATTGTTTCTCTGAATTTATTCTATCTTTATTATTTTAATTTTCCGTGCACTTTACAATCCTTTTTGATTAGCCTAAAATAGAACACTGTAATGGTAGTTATAGATAGCTTGACATTGGTCTATGTGGGAATGATAATCTTTTATATTACTCTGACGTACTTTGCATACTTGCGGAAAACACGCATCAAGTTTTTGGCGCTGTTGTCGGGGACCAATTTCGTCAAATTTTCTTACCCTATTGTTACACCGTCTAGATTTAGGCATCCTTTTTTTACTGGTCAACGTGAAGAACTCAAAGTACCGAAAACTTCATAGATCCAATAGAAGAACCCGAAAGATACGCACGCGCACGTCTTTTGCTCTAAAAGATTAGAAGATCTATAGCCGAAGAACAAAATCAAAGACCTCTTAAAGACTTTGCCTACCTTCTAATGAAGAATCCCATTCGAGTATTGTAAATCCAAGTATCCTAGATCATAAATTTGAGTTAAAACCCGTTTTGTTACAATTAGTGCAACAAAACCAATTCGTTGGTCTCCCTACTGAAAACCCAAACCAACATTTAAAAGTTTTTATCCAATTAGAAGATACCTTAAAAACCAATGGTGCTCCTCCTGAGGAGATACGTCTAAGACTATTTCCTTTTTCTCTTAGACATAGAGAACGATCATGGTTAAATTTTCTTCCACCAAGTTTTCCTTGCTAGATATTTTCCACATGGAATGACCTAAAGAAAGTTTTCCTTGCTAGATATTTTCCACCAAGTAAGAATGTTGTCCTACAAAACCAAATAACTAAGTTTACCCAACAAGACGATGAATCTCTTTTTGATGCTTGGGAAAGATATAAGGAACTATTAAGAGCCTGTCC